ACACACACACACACACGACGGCCAATAGACAAGTCATCTCCGGATAGTGTTTGTCATTGTGTACGTGTAAGCGAGTGGGCATGTGTATGCGCCCTGCACGTCTGCATGTCTGTTTGTCTGTATGTAGGTATGCGTCAAGGCCTGTTTGTATGTATGCGTACGTTGGGATGTTTGTATGTTTGCGAACATATGCGCCCTGCACACATGTAATGGTCGACTGCATCATTGAGGGTCCCGTGGCCTTCGAAATCAGCAGCACGGTTGGAAGGCTGCCAATCTCCGCTACGAGCACGGAAGCCGTGGCAAACCTGGCGAATCACACTCCGATGAGCCGTTCAGCAGTACAACCGTGAACCGTAGCCCTAAACCCCCCAACTCCTGAAACTCTATAAGACCCTAAGTAATATGAGACCCTAATATAAGATCACCCTAAAAAATGATAAGACCCTCAGGCTAGCTCGAGGAAGCCAGAACATGCATCGCTCGGGCGGAGGGACAAGGCATGGGTCTGCTGACGTTCTTGCTAGGTAGAACAACATCTGGGACCGGTACATGGGAGTTTCCGAAAAAGAGGCGTACCTTATTTGGGGATCCATTTTAAATAGAAGGATCCTACTATTTAGGGTGCTATATCAGGGCCCTCTATTTTCGGAAACCCTCACATGGCCCAAAACTTCAGCTCTGCATCTAGCGCCTTCTATGCGTCCATGAGTCTCGAAGCATCCCTGAAACCCTGCTAGAATCCAAAGCCCTAAACAATACCGGTTAAGCCTCAAAGAAGCTGTGTGTAGGATCACCAAGTACAACTTCTTTCTACACTTCCATACACGTATATTGGTCGGGTGTCTGGGTTACGGCTCGGTTCTAGATACAATCCCAACCAAGGGCCTAACAGATAACACTGAGGAGATCGAGAGCGAGGGATCACAACTGAGGCGGTGGGCTTTCTGGGCAGGGTTCCTGCCTCCTCACATGCCTATGAATCGGGAGCCTGAGGCAAACGGAATAAAAGTCTCTTATTTTGCAGGCAGCGCACAGGAAGTCACCCACCAAGGTGGCACTTCGCTCGCCAAGGCGTAAGTGGGCTGTCTCCTGACCAGGGCTTATCGGGTTTGTGGAGTTTAAGCCCTAAAGTTTGTAGTTTGAAGACGTCTATGTTCTTTAGCAAGCTGAAGTTGCGGGAGTGCCGTGTTCAATTGATATATATATATATATATAATATCACGGCCAGGTCATTGTCCGGACGGTACCCAAAGAGTAGTCCCGGAAAAGAGAAGGTAGACTCTACATACAGATGCCTGAACAACTAGACTATAGGACCATCTTTCGTTCGGATGGGATACGACTTAAATGTACCGGGGAAGGCAAGGACATTACGTACATTATCTGGTTCTTCAGGTTGTTGCAACATCCTCGAAACACCACTGAAACAACGGTCGCCTCACCGCGGCGCTTGTCGGCATCATCGAGGATGTCGTCCTCGGCTTCACTCTGTTTTGTTTGTCGATCACTCAGCTTCAATCGTCCAGCCTTTCGTAGACCCAGACCTTCCACTTCCCAACTGAGGGCCTAATATGTCTTAAATCTGAAGGCGAAGACCAGGCGAGGATGAATGGTCCCATGGCCTCAATCGGGTAGGGTTGGGGGTTTTCCGGGCTTACGCTGACTTCAAGTGCTACGAATTATAATCATCTCGGGTTGAGGGCTTGCGTTGCGCAGCGCAGACGGGAGGCGAAGGCCTCATGCCCAAACCTTATTTTGGGGTTGCGGACATTCTGCAACTGGCCTGCAACGGCTCCGCCAGGTGTATGTCCTGAAACCGAAAGCCCGAAGGGGTGCAAGGCCAAAACGGCAGGATTGGGGGTAGGGCCCGATCCCAAGGGCCCAAAGCCTGAACCCCTTCAACTACCCCCGATACTCGAAACCCTAAACCCTAAACTAAACCGCCAAAACTCTAAACACCAAAACCCAAAACCCTAAACAAAACCCCCAAAACTCTAAACACCAAAAACCCTAGACCCAGATCCGAGGAACATGCACCAGGGAGGCGGAATGCAAGACCTCCACTGCAGCCGCCAGAGCAGCAACATTGGCCATTGCTGCCTTTCAGGTTTCGGGTTTTGGGTTTGGGGTTTAGGGGTTTAGGGTTTCGGGTTTGGGGCGCTTTAGGCTTTGTAGGGCTAGCCACCCAGGCTCGGGGTTTTGCATGAGTAGGTGGCATTTAAGGCTTCGGAAGCCTCTGACACAAAGTAGCTACCCGACCGTGGTCTTTCGGGGGGGGGGGGGGGGGGAGGTGCATAATACATGCCTGCCGATATGCAAAACCCTTGGACGGGAACAGGCTTTCCAAGCCTGCGAACAGCTCAAAACTCCGATCCCACGTGCCTGCAACAGAGCTCTACTTCAGCAACGACGTAATCAACCATCAACATACTAGTAGTGGTCATAGCAGTGATGACAATCCCGATCCCTCTTTGCCCTCTTTCAGCCGGGCCTAAAGCTCTAGTTGGGCTCGTTTTCAAGCGATCATACCAATGACTAGTATCAATCCTGTTATTACTATTGTTAGCTCTTGCCTTGCCAGTACATACTATTGTTGTTCTTGGGGCAGGGATGTGCTAAATGCAGAGGCCTCTGAAGCTCCCGTCGCCGCGGCCGTGAGCAAAGTGAGAGCAGGTCGCAATCGCTTGCCACCTAGAAGAGTAATGTAGGAGCCTAAATAAGTACCAATCCTAGTTTCGGGGGTTCCTTCTTATAATAATAATAATATATATATATATATACCCCCCAAATCCTATTTTAATTATTAGGGACCCTATTTCAATTCAATAAAGGATGCTTGGAAACTTCAATAAGGCCCTGGGGTATATTATACGAAGAGTCTTATAATGAGCCCTGAGAGGTCATGTTGGTGACATTGTCATTTGGCTTCCCACAATGGTTGAGGGTGTTCGGGGGCTGGGAGCTCAAGGGTTGAAGGCATCGGGGGAGTGCAAGGTTCCCCTTCAAAGAATTCTATGAGGGTTGAACATGCTCGGGGTTGAGGGGTTTAGAGGCTTCGTGGTTATAGGGATTTGCTCGCACCCGCTTCGCGACCTGCTAGGTTGGGGAATCAAGGCTTATAGGGGTTTAGGCTTGGGTCTAGAATTTCGGACAACTTGGGTAGACCCCTTACTATAGAGTATATAGTATATATATATATAGTCTATAGTCTATAGTATATAGTATAAAGTATATACTATAGTTACTATAGTGTGTATATATATATATATGTATGATATAATAATATATGTTTAACCCCCGAAGCACAGGGTTTGAAGGGTTGAGGAAGAGGAACAAATCCTGCATCGTTGAATCCGTTTGTGGTGTCGACACCCAGGCCCCAGCGACCATACTGTGCAGTCATCCTCATCAGCCTGAACCCCGGACACGGCTTAGCAGCTTAGTATCTAGTAAGAGCCTACAGCAGCCCTAAACCGCAAGACACCGGTCTCAAGGCCTCACGATGTAAACCGGAACCTCCAATCCGAATCTACGGACCTGGAAGATCTAATACCTTAGGTATGATAAGGAACCCACGTAGGAGTGTGAACACGTCTCCAGTCGTTTATAAATTCGTTCTTCTCTTCTTTTCTCCTGCAATAAAAAAAGCAAAATAGACAGCCAAACTGTTCCGGACATTGACGAAAAACTGGGGTTTACTCATCGGTGCCTCAAACCGGACTATACAGCAGCTCTGCATCACTCTTGCAACTGTAACCCGAAGCAAACTACACAAACACTCCGTTCCACTGGCAGCCCGGCCTGATGCGAACAAGCGCAAAACCTCCTCGCGCACCTTGGGCAGACGTGGGGACGCAATGCTCAGTAGAGGGCACGCAGATGAAATGCTATTCGTCACAATGTTCTCGGCCAGATAAGGGTAGAGACCTGATGACCCTAAACCCTAGAGTCCCGAAAACCGAGGCCCATGACTCATAAAGAGACTCCAATTCTACGGGGATCGCCTTGTATCGGGAATGTAACCCAGAACCCTAAACCCATGGCTGTAATCCCTACAAGCCAAAAAAACCTAGACCCCATATAAATCCTGAAACCGAAAGCCCAGTGGCCAACTCGCTGGCAGCGGGCTCAGCCAAGGAAACGCCATCCAACTTGGCGTTCACGGTCCCGAGCTCCTAAGTACCGTCTGGAGAAATCGTGGAATAATATAGGGGCCTTAGTAATTAGAATAGGGTTCTGAAGGTTTCTTATATACTATCAATATAGCATACCCCCACGCCCAATGCTAATTATTGAGACCCCTAACGTATCAAAACCCAAATGCCAAGCTCGATGAGCTTCGGGTCTCGGGCTCAGACCGCATAGGACTTACCTGCGATCGAAAAACACCTAGTTCTCTGAGTTGACAGCATTACAAATATATGACCTGTGGCTGTAGCCCAAGTAGCCTGCCTCTTTTCGGGGTTGTTCTGAAGATTATACGACCGTCTTCTAAGCCTAACCAACCCCAACTATCCCTTTTTGCAACAGGCTTTTCACTTCGCCCGGAGTTGGAGCAAGCAGCCCTAGCAGCTTGACTGCGGAGCCAGCAACCCCAACTATCCCTAAAGCCCTTAACTCTAAACCTGTAAACTGGAAGATGCCCCAACTATCCCTCAAAGCCCTAAACTCTAAACCCTAAACCCTGAGCTCTATAAGCCCTAAACCCTAAACCTTTAAAGTCTGAATACCGGAAGATGTGCCTTCCCGATGCAGCGGAAGGAAGCCTGAAGCGCTGCCTGGCCGCGTAAGATGGAAGTCTTCATGATTACGAGAGGGTTAAGCTTGAGGCGACTTTAAAAAGGGCTCCCTTAAGGGATCCATGGGGGTTCCTTCCTTTAAGAGATCTACAAGGTTTCTTTTAAATGGCTCGATAAGGGTTGCTCTAAGGGTTACTGTTGCGGCTGTTATTGGGGGCTTGATAATTTGAGTAGGGCTTCGGGAGTATAGTATACTACACTATACTTCTAGCACGGAACTGTAAGGAATGTGGCATCATTGATTTTTGAAGCTTGAAAAAACTAGCTCCCAGGACATACTCAAGACATCGAAGTTTTACGGGGCATTTTTAAATCCAGTTTTAGAGACAATGATATTCGTAATTGCAATATACCAAAAACAATAATCATACTAATAATTACTAATATTACTACTAATCGTAATAGTAGAAATACGGTTTGTGAGTTCGACCTTTTGGGGCCGGCTTGGAGGCGCAGCTCTTTTGCGGAAGTCTTCGTTGGGCAGCCGGGTGCATCAGCGAAGGTCTGGGATTAAGGGGTTTGGGGTTTAGGGGTTTAGGATTTACGGTGCTGGGGGTTGCTGCGAAGACAGGAGTATAGGTATAAGAGTTTTGCAAACGGTATTGTGGAAGGATGTGCAACGGCTAATTAGCCGAGGGCTAACTTGCATTCTTGTTTCAACCACTTTCGTCCGGTCATCAGCCTGGGGTGGCCGTGGACCTGTGCTTGTCCTAGCTTGTTTGTTGAAACCATACGCATGGGAATTCATGAAGACACCCGATCAGCAAGCAGCCCTCCCTTGAGAGGCTTTGTACGAATCCTACGTCCTAGCTTGACTTCCGTGAAAGACACGGCGGCCTACTTCTCAGCAGGACCTGTTTGCCCAACCCTTGACCCTAAACCCTAAACCCTAAACCCTTTTTTGCATCAGGACTTGTGCAATCGCCCCTAAACCCTAATATCCCATAATAACAAGAACTCTGTGTTACCTTCGGGCCGCCCTCTTCCTTGGAGGGCCACGTCGGTGGCGGCTCCTGATGCTCGGGATTTCGGATGTTCGGGTCGGAGCACTGCTCTTGTTAAAAAACAGCAGACATCCCCGTCATCCGTATTGACATCATATGGGTAGTTCTCTAAATCAGGGTCCCTTTTTTGGTCCCCAGAATAGTACGGCAGCCTTATAAACAGGACCCTCAGTAAATGGGACCCAATTTTGGAGAACTCCCAAGAGGCGATCGCTGCGATCTGAAAGCCAGAAACCTCTACCCATAGTCTCCATTGTAGTTCCATTTAAGGGTTTAGGATTTTTTGGAACATCCCTTTTCCGCCTCGCATGATCCGGGAAGCAGTTTAGGGTTTAGGGCTTAGGGTGTTTGGGCTTAACCAAGTTTAAAACTGTACATAGGATCGTATAGGGAACCCCCAAAAAGGAACTACAATGGAGACCGCAGGCACAGTTCAAAAGCGCATTGGTCGGAGCTCGGCCTGCGCCGCAGGCAGTGGTTCGTCGCTAAGACCTTGGCATCTGGAGAAGCATTTAAGTTGGGATTTGGGGTGTCGCAGTACAGTAACGGGACGAGTCATTGTAAACACAAACTCAGACGCTTCTGGATGTTGGGAGCTATTCGAGCTAAACCTTACATCCTAAGCTTCGCGAAAGAGGGCTTCAGTTTTCAGGGATCGTCACTTTCGCAAAGATTGTCTGCCTGCTCCAGGCTTGCAGCAGTGGTGGCACAAGTCGCGCTAGTCAAAGCCACCAAATTGGCTTGTGGGAGGCTGAACTTGCAGTTAGGGTTTACGGTTTATGGTTTCCGGTGGCTGAACTTGCAGAAGCTTTCCGTTGCGAGTTGGTGTCCAGACTGCTCCATTCAGCATCGGACCTTTGGCAATAAGCTCCTCCAGCCCCCGATCGCTGACCTCACGGATCAGACTGACTGGCTTATAGGGGTTGGGGGGTTTAGGGTTTAGGTGAGCATCCCACGCCCCAAAGAAGCTCGAGCTGTTGAAGTGTGGTAGGATTGTAGAACCTACCCTAAGGGTCCAAGTACCCATCATTTAAGGACTTTGGGGCCTTTTGGGGTACCTAAAACCATAAATAAGGACTACTTGGACCCTTAGGGCTACACAGCACCTCGGTTCGGGCTTCAAAGGCTGAGCTCTTTCGGGCGTGGGGGCTTGGACTTGTTTAAGGATCTGCTCGCAAGTATGTTTTGTAAGGGAGGGTTTGATTTGTGAGTGAAGTGTATGGTAGGGCTTAGGGTTTAGGGTTTAGTAAGGTTGTTCGGCGGATGCATATCAGAGTTGCTGGTAAGCCGTAAGTTTGGGGCTGCTGAGGGTTGACATTTTGGGCCCTCTTTTTCTGGCACATCCTTCCCTGCAAGCAGATCTTGTGTAAGCTCAGGGGCAGCTGTCACAAAGCTTTTGCCCGACGGCAGCGGCGAATTCTCCGTAGGGCACACCTCCTGCCAGGAGTGCCCTCAGCGTCAAAAGTGGGGAGCTTTTCTGGGTCAGTGCTCCGGCTTCCAGGTCCACTCCACGTCCAAAAGCTCCTGAAAAGCCACCGTCAGGTTCCCATCCAGGCCCGAGGGCCCTGTACTCCAGGTGCCAGTCATGGTGGACCGGAGGTTCACGAAGCCCGCACGGATCTTGCCTGAGATCCCCTCGGCCGTCGCCTTCGTAGGCCACATCTTGCCCGAGATCAGGTAGGTGCCGGCGCAAGGCGGACCAACCTCGAAGCTCATGCCCGCGCCGGTCAGGTTGGTCCACAGGAAGGGTGCCTCTTGTGTGACTGTGATGGCCACCTCAGAAACGCTCCCGTCACCACAGCCCTGCCCAAGCATGCCGGTGCCGATGCGGCCCGATTCCTGGTCCACGCTTTCGTAGAAGAAGGTGGTGTTCGTAGCCTCCTGCGTTGCTTCTCTACTCGACGGCATCAGGCGCAGGTCCCCGAGCGAGTCCACCAAGCTGATCAGGCTGCGGGATGCGGAGGAGACGGCACTGTTCTGCGTCGCTTCCAGGCTCGCCAGATTGCAGCCGGCCCTTGCGGCAGCCTCGGCAAGAGCCGCCTCGCCAGCCTCCACCTCCACGGCCTGCACGCGCTCAGTGGGCGAAGCAGGCGCAGTGGCATGGGGCACACTGCGATCAAGCTTGCCAAGGAAGCGGTGGATGGCTGCCGACAGCCCCGGTGCTGCCAGCAGGCACTTGGGTTCCAGCAGATCCGCACTGGAAGCACTGACTTCGGAGCTGCGACGAAGCGATGCCGTAAGCTGAACAGCGGCAAAAGCAGGCCAGGCATCTTCCTCAAAGTCCAGCGTCTCGCAGCCGCCCTGCAAGCTTTGGAAACGTCCTTGAGATTCCAGAATGCACAGAGCCAGCAAACATCCGGCTCGACAAGCAGTGGCTTCTCTCCACATGGCTCCAGCCCTTATACTTCCCAAACTGTTGCTAGGGCCCTTAAGGAAGTACGTAAAGCTCGTGCATCGGCCATCTTTTCGAGTTGAGAAAACATGGAAATCTCTCTAGCGGCGAGCCCGATGTTGCTGGCATGTGGAGACATGGCAGCAAGATACATGCGCAAAATGTCATTCCAACTGGGCTCAAGCCACTCGCACACTACATACTCGAGGCTTCAACGCGAGGAGCAGGGTTCAATGTAGGGGCCTAAATAATTACCAATGCCATTTGGCGGGGTCGTTATTATAACTATAATGGACCCCGAATTCCCTATCCTATTATTAAGGCCCCCTACACTAGGGTCTTTCGGGGTCCTGAAAACAGCCGAAGGAGGGTCCCACGCGTCGGGGTACAGCTGAGCAACCCCAAGCCTCATAAAAGAAACAACCTGAAAATAGGGTTAAGGGTTAGGGGCCTCATACTAGAGGTCAGGATAATTATAAATTAGGATTCCAGTCAGACTCCCTATGAACATATTTGCGCATGTTCCAGTGTATGCCAAAAACAGTCTTCAGATCTTCAATCTGTAAAGGCCCTTTATTGAACCATCCAAAACTGTCGCCAAACCCTTACAACTGGGCCTAACGTTCAATTTTCTTGAGGTCAATATGCATCATAGAGAGGTTCCAAGTGCGGTCCGACCATACATTTGCCTGATCGCACAGGGTAAGTACAAGCGAAACACCCATGGGACTCTTTATGCGGCTTGTCCCTCCAAGACCAGAAGATTCGGGCGGGGGGGAGGGGTGCTGCTGGGGGGAAAGGCTTCTATGACAATAGGGGCTATTGCTACAAACAAACCCCTAAACCCCCGAAATCATAAACGTTGAAGTACCCCAAGACTCGCAACCATCCCGGCCTGGTCTCTTCGGAAGCCCATGCCCTGCAGGTTCTTGGGACCTCCAGGGTTACGCATCTTGGCAGAGCATGCAGACTGGAGCCTAGGGTAATGAGGTTTCAGGGCTCAGGGTAATGACAATGAGGGTTTCGGGTTTAGGGTAGCCTTCTCCCTCTCGCATGGCTAGAGAAACCAGTGTTTGGGGGTTTCGAGGTCAGGTTCTCAGCACAGCGGCTACTTTTAGGGCACGCTTGCCCGAAACGTTATGAAGCCCAAAGCCCCCAACCGTGAAACTCCAAACTGCATAAGTCCCAAGCCCGAGAAACCGAAAGACCTCAATCTGGAAACCCCTAACCCCATAGTGAATCCCTACCTAACCCTAAACCCTTTTGCACCTGGGCTATGCATAACCCCACTCCCAACCCTAACCCTGAGCCCTAAGCCCCAAGCGGTAAATCCTAAACCCTGAACTTCCAACCTCTCAAGACCTCCACTGCAAAGGGGCTGGCTTGGCACAAGAAGCATAGCTCACTTGGGATTCTAATTCGCTCTTGATGGAAGTGATGGCTTTGTTTCGAGGATTGCTGTGGCTTTGCAACTCGGAAACTCGAAAATATAGAAGCCTGAATAGGTAGTACAGTACCTCTTAGGGTTCCTCCACTCTCACGGTTTAGAGTACAGTATGCCTCAAAACCCTCTCTCTACATGTAGAGATAAAAAGATACTTACAGGTATATGAATACAAATCTGCATACATGAAGATAGTAATAGACAGATAGATATATAGATAGATAGATAGATAGATAGATAGATAGAACACTTAGATAGATAGACAAAATGGCTAGATAAATAGTTGGCGGATGGATTGATTGATTGATTGATAGAAAGCTAGATAAGTAGATAGACAAATAGACAAACAAATATATAGATAGATAAAAAACATGAATAGCTAGATAGCTAGCTAGATAGATCCTGCACGGAGCATCTTCGACGTGACCTAAGGCCCTCGTCCTCGTCAGGCTGCCTGGGGGGGCTGGCCTTCCTAAAGCTGAAATAGTTTCATGGCTCTTCTGCTCAGTTAGCATAGAAGCCTGAATGTTTCGAGCAGGGCTTTGGGAGTATGAAATAAAACAAACCTACAAAGTTGGAAGACAAGTCCAGAAATATCTCTGTTCTCCAAGAAGCAACGTGATCCTAACCCTAGCCCTTTTTACATCTGGACTTGGTGTAACCCTAGCCCGAAACCCTAAACCTGGTGCAACAAAACCGCCCCCCCCCCTTTGGGGGACCGTCGTCCGAAGACTCATCGGGCCGAACGTAAAGCTCCTCCAGCCTCGGTAGGAATAACAACGCCTTGAAACTCACGGGCTTTAGGTAAGGTTTATAGGGATTGTGGCGGGGTTTAGAGCTCAGATCCTGTTGTAGGCGTCAAGGTATAGGATTATGACCAGAGCACGAATGGACTCCCAAAAGCATTCTCCGGCAGCTAATAAGGAAAGGGCTTTGCAGGAAAGCCCTTGAGCCTCAGCATCTTTGCATAAACTCAGAAGCCACAAACCTCCAAATGCTTCGAACAGGTCAAGTTCGTACCTGCAACATCTTCAATCTGGAAATTTCCCTAAGGGTCCATGTGCCAAAATAGTATATACTTTGGCCTTCATGTAATCCCTATATAAGTACTTTGGGGCCAATGTACATACTATTTGGGTACATGGACCCTTAGGGTTTTAGCGTCAACAGGGTAAACGGCCAAGCGTTTAGCAGGCAAGTTTGTTGGTGCGAAGGGCAGAAGCAAGTAGAAATCGAGCTTCCCAGCCTTACTCAACAAGTACACGACAACACCTACTTGTTGTTCGAGATAGTACAGTAGAAGAAAACATGATACAGGAGTCAAAAGAATCAGTGACGTTTTCGGCAGTGTTCCTGATCACGACTGTGCTGCTACACCCAAAGACCCTATTCTAATTCTTAAGGCCCGTATATTTGTCAAGCTTCATGGTCTCCATCTCCTCTACATCTGCGAAGGTAAGCCCGCGCAAGCTTGAGGCGTCTTGCGACTTCTTCAACAGCTCCTTCAAAGATGATGATTAGACATGACGGGGTTAAGGCTCGGGAGTTTTCTGGTGGATCGCATGCTTTGTTCATCGTGCTTCTGTGCAAAAGCTCGGGTTCGATGGCCCTAGGAAACCTAAACCCGACGCCATTTTGCCAGACAAGATCGAACATATCTGAGGACTACCCGCGCCAAAGTTATCTCACAGAGCAAAGCTCCGTAAGGCATGATTGAGCTTCGATTCGTATTTCACCTTGTGGCCATGTACCAAGTTGTATGCTACCCATACAATTGCTCCTTTGCTCCACGGCTACCGTAATTATGAACCAGGCGGAGCTGACTCCATGAACCATCCGCGGTTGCTGGAACCACTTTTAACGCTTTTGCCGGACATATTCGGGAGCTGGCACAACACACCCGCTGGGCAGATCCTTCAAACAGACAGCCTGAAAAGAGGGGGGGGGGGGTGCGGGTCACTCCCGGTCAATGCTTCACAACAGCTTGAAGGTACAGTCCTACAAAGGGCGGCACTTGTGCGAGTATGGCGCGCCATGCATGCAACATGGTCGTTGCAACGTCTTGCCCAAAGGAGTCTGGCCGCACGCATCGGCCAAGAAAACCCCAAACCTGGAAGCAATACATGCACGCACATTGGACATACAAATTGTGCTTTTGATGTAAAACAAAGATACAGGCCCTGTCGGACTTTTTCTGCCAATTCAAGGCAACCAGATGCAACAACGTGTTTCTCCTTCTGGCATTTGCCCAAATAGTAAATAGTATATACTATACGAATACATGGACCCTTAGGGTTATAGGGTAGTATATATAACCCCCCAACATGGGTTGACACACAAGTGGGCGGCAAAGGTATCAGCTTCCTCTCGCCTTCGAAGAAGTACCCTATGCTTCCCAGGACCTTATAGTTAGGGCCCTAGACCCCTTAAGGACCCAATAATAAGGTCCCTGGAAGCATAGGGGTAATTATGTCGTTTGTGGTACAAGTACGATAACCCCAGTGGACGCTGGGGCTGCAAATAGCTCATCACAGGAACACTCTAGAGTTTTCTGAACCCCCACCCAAGTCTTGTTTGTAAAATTGGACTCCTTGGATGCGAAGAAGCCGACACAGTTAAAAGAACACGGACAATCCGAATCCCCAACCCGACCCTAAACTCCGAAACCATCAAATCAGAATCTATAAACCAGAAACAGCAGCCTCTCACAACCACCGCCATCACCATCACCAGCAGCGGCGGCAGCAACGGCAACAACTAAACATCTTTGCACGCGCCTCCAGCGCTTGCCCAGAACCCCTTTCCACTCGGTGCGCTAGGCGCCGCATGCCGCGCAAAGCCGCCGAGCCTTTCGGCTTAACGGGTCATGTTGCAGGGACCGGTCAGAGATTCGCAGGGTCAGTTTGCGGCTATGCCTACGGAGCCTTTATGGCATAGGTTTTGTTGCGCTCAGAGGCCTCCATGGATTCGGACAAGGCGGCGGAATGCTTGGGAGCCCCGGTCTTGGGTTGAAGCATGAGCTGGTAGGGCGGGGTCCCTGCACCCAAATTGCAACAGCCCTTGATATGTCTTAACTTTTGGGTTTAGGGTTGTTCTGAAAATAGTTTTAGTATCGTAATCCCCCGAAGTCCAATTATTGAGCCAACTATCTGATACGCAAACCCAAAGCCCTCAACCCAGAAGCCCGAAAGCACCAAACGCCTCCACCGACAAGCCGGGGTTCAAACCCAGAAAGCTACAGGCTTGGGTGAGGCGGCACGTTATGTGGGGCTTCCTTTCTTGGGCACACTACTGCGCGCTCCTCGCAACATGGATCTTGATCCTGCCGTCCTCACAGTTTCAACTTTTAATTATGTAAAGCGCCGGCTGAGGCTTTGGTGTTTAGGATAAGGGCTTCAAGCCTGGACTACAGCAGAATCCTGACCGCACTATGCATTCAAAGCCTGTTAAACTGAAGCCTCGAGACACACAACTCGTGAAGACACAGACAAACCTTAAACTCCTTGCAGACACAAACCCTGTATATGGCCCTAATAAGACCCTGCACCTGCC